AAACTGTTCTCACATCCAGTTCCCCCAGAGTAAAACCTCAATTTTAAAGGACTCCTCGGTGATTCTGAGTTTGTGATGCAAATTATTGGAGGAGACTACAGATGAAGAACTAAAGACTGTCAGAATGAATAAAGGCTCAAAGTGACTGCAAGGATCAATAATAATTTCAAATAAAACTGTTCTATGTGGACAGGGGGAGAAATTGTATTCTACTCCCTTGACTCACTAGCCTTGACGTGTAAAGTTCTTTGGAGTCTGGGGCAGGTTTCCATTTTTTATTTTTGTCTATATAAGCCTCTCTCAGCATAAGACTCTCTAAATACCATAGCAACTATGGTCCGAAGATGACAAAAGTATCTTCTTTCTCTATAAGTCTCAGTCCACTATCAATTCTCTGGATTGACAGTAATTCTCTGGATATACATCAATTAATTAATTAATTAGTTAATTAGCAGATCAAAGGATGCACACCTTTCAAATAGTCCCCTCCACATATAAGAAAGGAAATACATATGTAAGAAATATGTAAGAATATTATAGTCATACAGAGAATATAAACAGAATACTGATTTCTAAAATAACCAAACCAACAGAAATAAATATACCTACTTTTTCATTTCCCATAGTCTCTCCCTCGCCCTCTCCCTCTCTCTCTACCCCTCTCTTCTCTCTCTTACTACCCCTCTCTCCTCTCTCTGGTGGAAAATATATTCCAGTCTAAGTGATATCATTTCTGGAAAAGTGAAAAAAGTTATTTGGAAAAATGACTCCAAGTTTGAGGAAGAAAGCATACAAGTTAAAACCAGAATATCTTATTAATAGAAAGCAAACACAATCTATTTATTTAATAGAAGCTTCCAAAGACTTTTAAATACTAACAATTCAAACAAGGGTAATAACTGCTGAAAACTTCAAAAATTCCATATTTGTATTAATACTTAAAAATGGAAAAACACTGATTTTAAAGCATATTAGAGAAAAGGCTTTTCCTATAAAGGATATCAGAGAATATCAGTTAAGGGATATTAATATAAATAACTTGCTATGACATGTAAGAGTGGGCTCAATAAAACCAAATAATTACCAATAGGATTTAAAAAATAAGGATTTGAGTATTTTATTGTCTAAAATGGTGTGAAAACCAAAATACAGACTACACATTACAAACCAACACTTCCATATATTGGAACTACTCATTTGGATTTGGTATTTTTGGCACATATTGTTTGATTCAACAATCTGTAATCATTTCAAGTATTACAACTATCTATTGTTTGATTCAGATCATAGTCATATTTACTCCTCAAATGGACTCTCTTCTTCATCTACTGCATCATGTTAGGGTATAAATTAGCATCTTATAATAACTCATGATCGCCTTTTATCATCTGCATAAGGAAAAAAAAAAGTTACGCTAACCATTATTGGTAAGAGACAAACAGATGCTATTTAAAAGTTTCAGTGAGCTAATGGCAATTACCACCTGTTCTGTTTCATCGATTAGTGCTACATATGAAATAGAAATACCATGCAGGCACTAATCTTCACTCCAACAACAGTATTTTAAATTCCTTCAATGAAAATACAAACCAGGTCCTCCCTGGTGGTGCAGCGGTTAAAGCATTGCACTAAGAAGCTTAAGCCACTTCCGCATGAGTTCGATCCCGGCCTGCCCTGGAAGAGATCCACATGGCGCAGCAGACCTCTCCTGACCCGCCCGCTGCTCCCCTCAGCAGTGTACTTCGTCAATCTGCCTATTCTGCTCCCTACTCTGTCCCTGGTGAATCCTCTCACCCTCCGCATCTCTGGCCTGTACCCCAGTTCTGTATGAATAAATAAATAAATCTTAAAAAAAAAAAAAAAGAAAGAAAATACAAACCAAACAGGGCCTTCCTGGTGGCACAGGTGTCTCCAGCCACTGCAGGAATAGTTCGATCCCCACCCAGCCAGGGAGGTGACCCACATGATGCATCAGACATCACCTGTTGCTCCTCTCAGTAGAGTATTCTCATACATCTGCCTATTCTGCTCCCCACTTTGTCTCTGGTGAATCCACTTACCACCCCCCCCAACCCACACACCTCTAGACTACCCACCAGTCTTGTATGCATAAATAAATAAAACTTTTTAAAAATAAAATACATATTACTTACATTAGAATAAAGCAAAAGGTACATAATTTCAGGACTCCCCTGGGTTATGACCAAAGGATTACAGGAGTTCACAAAGGTCTTACCTTCATTCTCTTCTTTACAAATAGGAAGGAGGGGTTGTTAGCTTTATGGTGGGATCTCAGGAAAAGATTCAACCCAGAAATGCTGTATCATTTCCCATTCTTATCAATTCAGAAGTTGTGATAACTCAGAGCTTAAACTTGACTGCAGTTATTATTAACATAATAAAGTGCTTAATCAAGGCATAAAATTGTAAAAGTGCTTTACCTTAAAAAAAAAAAAACCTTCAAATTTGTATAGATTTCTTTTTTAATCCAAGATAAACAAATACCCTAACATCGTCTGAATAATTTAAAGTAGGGCCCTATTGCCTTTTTTCCCTTTTTTAAAAGTTTAAAGAATTGCTTTTCTTAAATAGGTATTTCTTTAAAAACAAAAACAAAAACAAAAACAAAACACAAACTGTGCTGCTAGTGCACTACTGCTATTAATTTTAATTATTTTTACGAGCATAGCAAAAGGTTAGATGTTCTTTTATTTTATTCACTAAAGTAACTCCAGAAGGTTTTGTAAAACTTGTGCTAAATTATTTAAAAGTATATATTTCCATAAAAATGTAATTCAAACTGGTGCCTCAGTTTGAATTACTGTCACTACACATATTTATATCAACATCACAAAAATGCAAAGTATAATCAGTTCCCTGTCTCATAAAACCACATTTAGTGATTCCAACCAAAAAGTTTATTTATTGCAAAGTATTTTATATTAATGACCACCTGTCATTTAATGAAAATAATAAATGCAAATGAGATTAAACAGACTAAATCATCCTCAAAGAGAAAAAATCTTTGAAAAAGAGATAGCAAATCAAGAAACCTCATTAAGTTGTACCAGGAATACTATAGTTTCCTTAAATATATTGCTAAAAAATGAAAAAAGAGTGAAGAAAGAAAACAAGTTTACTTATAAAATTACCATGATAGAATCTAAGCCCTCAACTATAGGTCATATTTATCTGAAGCCTTCTAGAGAATGAGAGAATGTTTTCTAGAGAATGAATCAGAGATCCAACATTAGCTCTAATTAGAATGTAAGACTCCTTTCCTGATGCCAGCACAACCCACTCTCAGTTACCTTTCAGATAAGTATCCCAGGTCATGAGAGTCATGAATAATGGACTTTCTTGCTTTGGGCTCTTATCTACACATTAGTTAGGTGCAGCCATGGATGCTGGCAATAGGGAAGGATAGAGGCAAGTGCTCTAATCAAAAGAATTAAAAACACCCAAAGTGGTATTATACTGTTTCCAGCTCAAGAGAAAAGTTCAGAGATCCCTTTGGCTCAAAGACTGTCTTTAAAACTGTGTTACTGTATGAAATCAGTGGGCTGAGTTGTCATTTGTTTTATCTGTAAGATGAATTTATGAAGTTTTTAAAAAGGCAGTATGGGATTTTACTGATTATTTCCTAACTGTTAAGATCTCAAATACCTGATCATAAAATATAAAATGGCCAAATTACCAAGAACTTCACCACCTCTTTCAACCGTTCCCACCATTTAAAATCTTTCCACAGCAGCACTAAGCTTCTGTTAGTGATACAGGTACCGAGGGTTCCTCTTCAAATAATTATTCCTACAGCTAATCAAGAATATAAATCAGGGAATATACCTGAGAACATCAGAGGGTATAAAAATGAAAAGTAAACTTGTAGATTAATTTTCTGAACTGTTTTCTGTATCCTATGCTGATGGAATATAAGTCCACTGTACCAGAGAAGATATGTAGTTATTTACATTATTAATTATCATCTATAAGTTTTTAAGGACCAATACATTGAAGTAGAATTTGAAGGTGTGACCAATCAAAATATTCATGTATTCAAACTGTACCTGACACAGTATTTGAAGATCTGGAACATAACAGGTTAACAGATTGAATTAGGTGAGAAAAAGAGATCTAAAGTTAGAGACATCGACTAGTTAGGTGACATTAATATTTCACTTAAACTGCTTGTCAAAGATTATTACCATCATCGAGGATCATGGGATACTACAGTGTGTAACTGCTCTCTGAGAAGGAGTAACATCAGAAAGTTAGGTATCAAGACACTTGCTATTTGGCAAAAGGGAAGAGAACAATAAAACAATGTTCAGGCTACCATTATCACATCAAATGATTACACAAAGATATCCTGAGAGGAAGGTTACCAGGAAACATACTTAAAAGACAACATGGAATCAAGAAGAGTGAACTTTTGGCAGTTCTTTTTAAAATGGATTTGTGCCCCACATTGATAACATATGCAGCCATTAAAGAATTACTGCATGAGATTCTCCATTAGATTCATTATGATTTTAAGATTATTCAAGTACCTGTAAAGTAGTGAACTAAGGTTCACACTAACTGGATGTATTATTTTGATCAGAAGCTGTAACTGTAACTTACCAGCCTTTAGATATTTTGACTGGATTTCTCATGGAGTCCTTGCTATAAGTCATAAAAGTCATAGTTTATTAGTCAAAATAAACAGTCAAAAAGATACACTACATACAATAAGAAAAAAGTATTTGTTTTAAGTACTAATAGCTTTTAAGTGCTTCTGAAATGTTAATTTTCATATTTTTTAAGACTAAGAGCTCAATGATAAGTTATAGAGAATTTTTTTATTATACATTTGAATATTAACACAGGGAAAGAAATATTCATCCTTTCTGTACACATTTGATCCTAATTTAAAAAACTGATTCTTTTACAAATCAGAGACTTAGGGTTCATTAAAATAAAGATAAGGACACTATTTGAAAAATACTACACGGTTCATACATTCTTGGAATTTCTTTATTAAAGTTTCAGATTTCCACCTGGCTTTCCATATTTAACTTCATTTTTTTCCTGTAGACCCAAAGGGAAACTCAGTATCTACCTACAAGTAGCAACTATATTTCCAATTTGAGCTGAGTCTGTATGGACCTTAACTATATCTCCAACACTGCTTTTATCAAGCAGCAAAGGCCTATTAGAGACTGACTCACTCCACCTATTTTTAGTCACAGAATTCCAAAGGACTTGCCCTCTGTTGGACCCCACCTCCCGTTGTCCATCATGACAGTAATGCTTTCAGAACCTTCCAAAGTTGGTGCCCACACTCTCATCATAGCTTAATTGATTCCCTTCATATTGCTCTCTGATTCTAGATTCAGATCAAGCAATTTTGAAACCAATGGGGCAGTATCTCATCAATCTAAGATTCTGAGATTTAAAATTCATGAACTATTTAAATACCTATCTGGTAATAAAAAGTAAAAATATTATAATATCAATAGAACTGACTATGATTGCTTCATAGGCTTAAAGCTACCCTCTGTGTTGAAAGCTGAATGAAGCTTAAATGTTTTATTTGATACTAAATGACTCAGGGACAGGACACACACTTTCTTTCTTTATAGATGGTGCCACAGAACGGCCCCTCCCCATCTCCTGATTAGTATTCTAAATGTGACTTATCTCAATACTGACCTAATTTTTTTCAATTGAACATATATCCTTGGGTTTAGGTCTGTTCATGCCTTTGCAGATTAGAAATGGAGCTTTTTTTTTTAGCCAAAAAGAGTACCAATGAACTGTAAAAAAAAAAAAAAGAGCAGCAAAATTATTCCCTTTCCATACTCTTTAAGACAATTTTCTCCCCTGAATTTACTAGTGAATATCAAATTTGTCAGAAAAGTGACTGAATGAAAACTTTTTCTTTTATAAACATATTCAACTTCAAATAAAATAATAGATTCAAGCCCACTGTTGTCATTTGCTGTGAAGTTTTATGCTTTCCATTCTAAGTTCTTAGCCCACAATAAACACAGAATATAGGTGAAAATATGCCGTATTTAGCACTAGAAGCAGCATCATAGTTCATTATCAGAATGAAGCAGAAAATGGTTTAGTACCTGAATATCACAACATAAAATGTTCTGGTAATGGAACTGCAATAGAGTAATGAGGTTTACAATATATTTTTACCAGGAAGCCCAGTTGTAAACATTCACATTAAACTATTGTCCCCAAAATCTAACTAACCACACAAACAATAATCTATTTTGTGACTATTAAATCATGAAGAATTTGTACTCCATGGCGCCTTGTCTTGGTGGTTTTCAGAGTAAGACATGAGCCATATTAAGTAGCTCCAATGATTTCTCCATCTTGAATAACTGCCAGTTCTGGAACTTCATTCATCCTCAAGACATCTGCATATAGCAAGTAATTATGTAAGCTTTTGGGAAGTGGCAACTGGCAGATAAAATTGTCAGATCGTAGTTGTTCTGGCTTTAGACTAGACCGAATTTCCAAACGGCAAAGGTGGGTCAGGGATGGAACAGATGCTGGTGAAACAAAAAAGGAATACAAAAATGTTTTAAGTAGAAAGATATAATAATACAATTAAAGAAATTCCCTCCCCCCCCCTCAATGTGGTAAAAGATGAGTCATTATGTTGCTTAGACTTACTTTGAAAAATTATTTAGACTAGGATGACGACCAACTGTTGGTTACATAATCTAAATCAGTGCCCAAGGTTACATAAAACTAAATGTTCAAATTCTAAAGATCCAACAATATCAGTTGAGAAATGCATGAAGTAGAAATGATAGAAGCTCACAAGAGCAAATGCTGCATTCCTCTCAGCATTTTTTATTGCAAATGATCTTCAGATCTACCAGATCAAATGAGTAAATATGTAATTAGAGTTATCCTTTTTTTTAATCCATCACATAGAATAGAATTTTAAAACTGGCACAGAGACAAGAGGCACATTTATTGAGTACCTAATATGCCATATGTGGTCTTTGCACATTCATTATATAGGCTTCATTAATCCTATGAGGTATATATTATATTCTTATAGAGATAAGAAAGTAGTGTTTTAAGTTAACTTTCCAAAGGTTATATATACATCTAGTAAGTGTTAGAGCCAGGACTCAAACTCAGGTATAAGTGACCCAAAATGTGTGAATGTGCAAGCACAGTCACTACAACCCCTGCTGCCAAAAGCTAACTACCAAATAAAGGAGCACCCACATTTACTTAACTAAGAACCATATAACAAAAGTTTCATTTTTCAAAATAAAAAGTATTAACTAAAGAAGTTACATCTCTGGAAACTTAAAAATAATACTTCTATGTAAATCAAATTATTATTCTATTAATTCCTGGGAAATTTAATAATAGTAAATAGATCAGGATCATAGCAGCATAGACAAGTACTACAAAGAACACAGTTGAAACCAGAGCAGCTCATCTGACTCCAACTCTAGGTTTCTTTAAATGGTAATATCAACAGGGCCTGAGTAAACTAATTTTCTAATATCTTCAACATCTTCCAAATCACTGAAGTAAAAAATCTATCACCTTACATTTTAAGAGTAATGGTTTTATTTTAGTTCAGTTTATTCAGAGTTTGAGAAATTTTTCAAATCACAGTGCTTCAAAACACCAAATAAGAAAGTGATCTGATTTTGTACCTAAAATGTTAGTCTAAGAAAAGATGAGCATTTTCTTGAACCATTATAAAGAAGACTACAACATCTATAAAATATAGCACATTTATTTTCAGTGCTTTCATACCCACACCTTGTTTAAATAGTACCAATTTCTAGGAACTTTTGTCCATTGTTGGCAGGAATGTAAACTTATACAACTACTTAGAAAAGCAGTATGGAAGTTCCTGGAAATATTAAAAATGGAACTACCATATTATCCAGTAGCCACACTCTGGGTATTTATCCTAATGATATGAATACACTAACTTGAAAAGATATATGGATTCCTATGTTCCTGTACACTGTAACACTATTTACAATAGCCAGGACACGGAGATAAACCTAAGTGCTGAAAAATGGATGAATGGCGTAAGATGTGTCACATAAACACAATATAATACTTTAATCATTAAAAAAGATGAAATCTTGCCATCTGTGCCAATACGGAAGGACCTTGAAAGGATTATACTAATTGAAGTATGTCAGAAGGAGAAAGACAAAATGCTACGTGATTTCATTCATTTGTGGAATATAATGAAAACAAAAAAGAAAAAACCCTTATAGGTGATAAGAAAGAGGTAGTCACAGGGGAAGGGGGAAGATAGTGGGAAGAAGGTTAGTGGTAGGTGGTGACAGGATATTTGGTGGTGGGTATGGTGAGAAAATGGACTCTTGGAACCTGTACAAAACTGCTGGAAACTGTTTATGTTTTACCCTGCTATATGAATGAAAAATTCTTCATACTCTCTTCTGGAGAGAAAAAAAAAAAAAAAACCCACAGGTAAAGAAAGCATTCAAGAGATCAGCAGAAACACATACAAAAATGTTGCCCAAACTGCAAACCACACAGTTTTCCAAAGGTATAATAAGCAAGGTCAACTTCAACAAGTAGGCTAATTGAGTTCAACTATTTCATATAAGGAAGTCTTCTTACCCAGTGAAATCAGGAACAGCAATTGATCTTAGTGTCACAGACATACACAAATACAATGCAATTGTGGAAATAAGGGTAACTTACTAAGCACACAATTCAGTTGGGTGGGGCATACATACATGGAGAAGCCAGAGAGAACGCTAGTAGCTGTTCACAGAGTATGCCATGTAAACAGTCAGATGGTATTGACTGAAGAAGTGCAAAACTGGAATGCACTGGGTTAGAGTGAGATTAGTTAAAATAATTTTAACACATATTCAACTGGATTTTAATATGTAGCTTGTCAAACTGAATCTCTTCATTCTGCACATTCTTGTCAACGTAGAGTCTTCTTAAAACACCATGAAGGAAGTATGGTCATACAACACAGATTCCTTACTTGTACCTAGGGAATCCTTTATACTTTTCTAGTTTCTCAGATTTGACAGACAACAATGACTTAAAAATTCCACAGGCTGACTGAGCAGAGTACCCCCAGTTGTCCAAAAGCTCCTATACCACTGATAAGTCTTTCCCGGTCTTTTCATTACACTACTACACAATTTGTTTGCTTATGCTAGTATGTGTCTGGAAGCTTAATTATTTGTGATCATGTCAAAATGGACAAGTACATTTGTTATGGGAAGCTGAAGTGACCTGCCCACACTGACAGTGTCCATCAACAACAGTTGATACTATAATAAATCCAAATGCTGTGACTCTAGGGGCCTTTAAATCCCTAACATTTTTAAATTACTGGAATTACCTAAGTTTCAGAAGGTCTTTCCACTTAATAATTTAAAAAGGAAAGTAATACAAAAGAGAAACAATGGTTTCAATTTTAATCTCACCATTTTGTTTTTATTCCTACAAGCACAACAGATCACTAGCCTGATGAACAATTAGAACTATATTCATAATCAGTGCCATCTTAGTTTAATATGCTAGTGAATACCAAGGGAGTTTTATAATCATAGATGCAATATTTCAAAGCATGCAATATTAGAATGCAAGCTTTAGTGATGCATAGTATTTCCAGATGTGTTGCCACTAGGCTGAGAATAGATCCTGTCATCACTTGAATTTAATATATGAAAAAGCCCAGAAGCTATATGTAAAACATACTTTCATAAAAATCTGTTAGAACCATATTTTAATTTGTTAAATAAATCTCCCAGATTATAATACTGATCATAGACTAGAACAATCATATCTAAAACTATGCATTTTGTTAAGTTGCTTTTCTGACCCAATCATTTTCAATTTGTTAAATCCAACTTATCCCTATTAGTAGACAAGCAAATTTCAACTTTTCATTCTATAAATGACTTCTTAGTTTCGTTGTACATACTAACAGAACAATCAAAATGGGTTACATTTTAAATAAAGTGTTATTAACACCCAAAGCAATGATCAAAATAAACCCTACAATTCCTAATTCATTATGCTCATTAATGTCATCTTTACTACAGTGTAGAATGAAACATTGTGCACACACACTATCAATGTTTTCTACAACCATCACCTCATTTTGTGTATTTTTTCAATAACTTGTTGAATTTTCCATGTTCATCCCACTGTTGGTTTAGGTTGTAATATTTCTTTAAATGGGGGGGGGGAGGAGGGGTTTAGTAATAGCAAATTACACAACCATTACCTTTAGCCTTCCTTCATGCCAGCATCCAGCTGATCTACCTGCCTGAATTGTATTTCTTTGGTTCCATTGCATGGTTTTCCACATTAAGCGTACTCACATTCAATTTCTACACCACCTGCTATAATTTATATTTTAACCATTAATATATTTCTTGACTTTCATCCTCTGTCCCAGTCCTTTAATAATAGATATGGGCTGGAATCAAAAGGTAAAGAAATGAGCAATAGAACAGCAATGAATAGGATGAATCAAAAGAATACTCAGCCTTTCAGTTCTTCCTCTGTACAATGAGGATGAGAAAATAGACATAATGACACCAAAACGCAACAAAAGGTTTTGATGAGATCAAGTTAGAACATATTTACAAAAGCATTTTACAAAATGAAAATATCGTAAGAATCCTAGGAAACCTATCCAAATGTTTTGATTATACACCTAATTAGTGAAGTTTTTGAGTATACAGCCCTGTGTATGTATTTACCTATGCATAAATTATATGAAGACTAGTAAATGAACATTATTTACACTATAAAATATGTAAAATTAAAAGAATCAGATAAAATGAAAAAGACATTTCAAATAACTTCACTTATCTTATTAAAGGTATAAGAATCTTTTTTTTTTT